AACAAGTTAACAAAATTACGTTAAAAAAGGAGAATTATCTCAAGTTATGCAAAAATTGCAAAACCCTTGATCATGAGACTTAAAAAGATGCAATAATTAATACTAAAGATACTGTCTATGTACAAGCATTTAAGAAGTTACAACAGATTCTGATGTCCGATATGGTACTTCAATACCCGGATTTTGAAAAGAATTTTACTCTGACTACCGATGCTAGTAATTATGCATTAGGAGCCGTCCTGTCACAAATCAATGGACCAATAGCATTTGCTTCACGCACTTTAAACCGTCATGAGATTAATTATTCCACGGTTGAAAAAGAATTACTTGCAATTGTTTGGGCAGTTAAGCAATTCAGACATTATCTTTACGGTAGGAAATTCGAGCTAAGAACCGACCATAAACCCCTTATATGGCTGGCAAATCTTAAGGACCCTAATTCCAAACTAATCCGTTGGAAAATAAGGTTAAATGAATACGAATTTGACATCAAACATGTAGAAGGAAAGGATAATAAAGTAGCTGATGATCTCTCAAGAATTAGAGAAGTTAATGCAATCACAGATAAAAGAAAACATAAATGTGAGATATGTAATAAAATGTTTAGTAAGAAGAATCTGCTTAGGAAACATTTAAATGAACATTTAAAGAAAAGACCACCTTCACCTACTTCTACAATACACAGTGCTGACGAAGATGACCATAATTTCTTTAAGATATCAGAGAAACCTCTTCAGCACTACAAGAACCAAATAAAAATTGACAATTCCAAGGACAATAAGACGACACATGAACGGATATTTGATAGAAATAGGAAAATATGCGCTTATGAAACATTCGACGACGAATTAATATCACGAATATTGAATGAAGCCATGGAAAATAATCTTTCAGCATTGTATTGTGAGGATACGGAAATTTTATTTAAATTACAGGAAAAATATATAACCACAAAAGATAATCCTTTAAATACAAAATAATTTGAAATATAAATTTAACAACTAAATTTCTGCAAGATGTTAGATACGAAGAACTCCTAGAAATCATAAATAGACACCGCCGATTTGAAAACAATCATCCAGGAATAGATATAACATATATTGAATTAAAAAGAAAATACTATTATCCGAATATGAAAAAGGAAATTGTTAAAATTATAAATAACTGCGTTATATGTAATTTCAAAATAGAAAGAAACCCTGTCAAATTACCATTCGAGAAAACGGAAACACCACATGGACCTTATGTTCATTACCACTTGGATATTTGGCATCTTAATAACCAAATAATTTATTTGACCATGATTGACAAATTTACAAAATATGCAGCAATGGAAAAATTATCTGTCAAAACACCATTACAGGCTACAAAAGCTGTAAATAAAATGTTCATAATCATGAAGAAACCCCAAAAGATTACTATGGATAATGACCCGACGTTTTCTAATCCAGTATTTACGGGACACCTTAAAGATAATGATATTCAGAGTCACTTTACAAAACCTCATAGACATACTGGTAATTCGGACATTGAACGTTTTCATAGCAGTTTAAATGAGAATATTAGAATATTAAAAATTAGGGAGGAAAATAATGATGTAGCATACAACTATGATTTACCTTTACAAGCATTACAGGCATACAACAATAGTTTACATCTTTCTACGAAACAGAAACCCATTGACCTTCATTTTTAAAACTCAGATATTCAAATGGAAAAAGTTTATAATGGAATTGAAACAGCAAAAGAAAAGATGTTAAAATACAGAAATAAAGAAAATAAATTTGGAAGAACAGCAATCCCTCATAAGACAGAGACTAAAATAAAACAATTGACTACACGGAAAATTAATGACAAGAAATATAAATTAGATAACCGCAATACAATACTTCATAAAGACCAGTTCATTAAAAGGAAATTTCTTTCCAGGTCTCTGGAAGTCCTTGCTGGCGATTTTCTTGATGATATCCCCAGTGGTAGCGCAGAAGCTCGAGGTAGTCGATTTGAATGAAGGCAACGGATATGCAATGATACAACTTAATGACAAAATGTTAATAGATGACTATATTAAAATTCTTCACAAATTTAACACCACAAAATATATGAATTTTTTGAATGAGTTGGGAGAGGAAGTTTCGCGTAGTAATGATTTATTTTATCGCATGAAATCGAGCACATGAATTTACGATTTAAAAGTATTATTCCCCATCAAGCTAGAAGTAGAAGAGGTTTAATTAATCTTTTTGGTACAGGATTAAAATATCTATATGGTACAATGGATAATAATGATAGAGAAGAGATTGAAAGACAACTGCAAAATTTGGAGAAGAATGAATATAATATAATAACGCAAACTAATAATTAAATACACATAAATACATAATTTGACAATCAATTAGCTAACTTAACAAAATTATATAATGACCAAACAAAACTGTTGATTAAGAGCATGTCAAACGTTAAATCAATTAAAGATAACACAGCAAAAGCTGATAAAGTTTACCGTCTTAAATACCAAATTGATCATATGGGCAAATTATTAGATAAAGTAAGAGACCTAATCTTGGCTTCCAAATTAAATATTCTCACTCGAGATATCCTGAGTGATGAAGAAATTAGAATATATAATATAACCATGAAAAAAATGAAAGAAATTAAGATTAATTTAGCCCTTTACAAAAATAATATAGTATTTGTCTTAAAAGTACCCCAATATAATCCTAAAATATTCCAAGAAGTATATATCCAACCAATACCTAATAAAGAAAAAATGCAAATTAATATTGCAGAAAAAATGTATATCACAAAAGATATCAAAATTTATTATGATGTTAATGAAACACCAAATCTAAGGGAAGTTGAGGATGATTGTATATCCAATCTGTTTAATTATAAGCTCATGAAATGTCATTATATACAAAATACTAAACCAGAAGTTGTCGAGATTGGCTTAAATATTATAATTGCTATAAATACTAATCAAATTGTTAATCATACATGTAACAAATACCCATTAAAATTATCTGGAAATCACATGCTGATCATAGAAAATTGCAAAGTAAAATTGGACAAATGGTACAATAAAGTAATGTTTCAAAACATGTTAATAATTCCAAATCCCTACAGAGACGTACATATGATAAATGATTCATATGATTCTTTAGAGGAAATACAGTGTCATCATATTAATAAATTTGAACAGAAAGTAACTAATTACACAGTAATAGTCTTGACAGCTGTAATTATACTTATTATAGCATTGTATCTGTATGTAAAATATAGATCAAGTACAGTAAAAGTAACTATCCCCTTCCCCTCAGCTCCTTTGGAACACGGGAAAGAGTCTTCGTCCGGGGGTGTTATAACCCAAACCAAAATGCCTTTCCAATGACTTGGCAATATATTCATATTACAATTATCGTACCATCTGTCATTTAAAAAAAAAGCCACACCCTTCTTGCAAATCACACAATCGATCGTATTTCAAAATCATACAAAAGACCAGTAGAATAATCATATTACAATAATCATACGATCGAATCAAAAGACCAGTAGAATAATCATATTACAATAAGCATACGATGTATCTAAAATTAAAGTAAACAATTATGTATATTGCACTTAAATTCACAAATAAAGATTCAGTTCTATTCTAGCAGCAAACTTTAATTAACGTTTTATTTTGTTACGCGAGTTTCGCTAAAGGAAGAAAAACTCACTTTAGTTTTTTTTTAAACACAATCCTATTAAGAAGAATTAAAATTGTATCTACCGAAATTGCTGGTTAATGGTAACGTAGGTAGGGGACAATTGACTTCCCCAATGACATACCCATGTTAAATTCACCAGTCTAGGGTATGAAGTGGTAACTAGTGGTAGTTACAGGTAATTAGTAAAATATCTAGTTCATAACTAGTTACTCGAACTACTGGGATGTGTTGTCCAAAGAAATACAAAACCAATATTGAAACTTCACAATCACTACTTAATCTTTTTGTCGAAAAATTTCTGGTAATTTTTGGATCAAATAGTGTATCGTATTATGTACATAACCTTCTCCATATAAAATCTATTGAGACGATCGATGATCCAATGTCATGCACTTCATATCATATAAACAATTATATACCAATAAAAATAATAAAATTTTGTACATGACGAGAAAGACTCTGTAGTTTGTCAACGTTTTAAAAATATATTTGGTTGATGCGAAAAATACGAACAATGAGGAGACGTTTTTAATAAAGGATATCGAATGTAAAGCAATGGCTTTGCCTTATGACGAAAACCTGATACTAATCCCAATTCTACATAACTGCCATTAAATTTTTGTCGACAAAAAGGCTCAAATCAGATTCTCCATTCATTTCATATGTTATTTAGAAGTTTTTAAAATATATACCCTTTGCTATTAGAGGACGTATCAGACGGTGTGGGCCGTAAAAATATTACAATGTGCAAAGTTTGGATGCAAAAGGTAATCCCGGTCCCCTCATATGAAAATAACAAATATTTCAAATTTTAGTCCATTATTGGTGTTGGTAGTACACGTTTTGAAGCGACAAGTCACATCTTGACACATTATACGGGCTTGGTGAAAATATATTCAGCCATAAGGCTGAGGATATAAAAATAGGACAGTCCTTCAATAAAAAGAAATCAGAGACCAGAAGGAATTACGTTGGCCTTAAAAATGTTTTTACACCGTAATTTGCTAAACTAAACCCACTCATCTGTGTAACGATCAACTCACGTTCATTTGCTTTTGATAACAATTTCTCAATTATTGAAGTGTGTCCACTTAGTTAATACAAATTTTGTTCAACACAACTGTCCTTTGAAAATACTATAATTCAATACTAAATTCTTTGCTATTAGTGAGTGAGTGTTTTCATTTTTCCTTCTTCGTTTCACCCTCCTTTTCTTCTTCTATTTTACATAATAGAATTTCCATTGAATTGCATAAAATTAAATTTAACTATTGTATTCATACTTAAATACTAAAACATTTCATTATCATCGTCTAAGACATCGTCTAATGATTCGTATATATTTACCAATAAATGACCATATTTCCAACTCTGTTGTACAGCATAGCTGGGTGCAAAATATTTATCGGCAAAACGACGAACTTTGACCAATTGCGTTGAGCCATCATTCAAATAGAGGCCAGTGGAAATTAACTGTTGTATATATGTCGAGTCAATGTGCAGCGAATGTTTCTTGTCCTTGGGAAATGTTACAAGATTTTCCAATATCTGCGGCGGGGTGTTACTGTTCGTATTGTTCGTCACTTCGATAGATTGTTGTAATTCGGTGATAACTTCTTCCGGTTCTTGACAATATTTACAATACCAGCCACCAAAATGATTCAAATCTCCAATTACTAGCGATTCCTGTTGTCTCGTGTTGATACGGTTGTGAAGTAGCGTGGCTTTCAATTTTAAGGGATCGGTGTTGCTGTTATCGATTTGTTGAAACGAGCTTATGAGACCGTCGAGTTTGGTTAAATCCGGATGTTGCCAATAAAATCCATAGATAATTAATTTCAAACGAAGTAGTATTAAAGGTACATTGGAACTGTAGTATTTGAGAAAATTTAGTGCTCGATGGCTCAAAATGACCTTATCGTCAGTGTAAATAAATATATCTGTGGGTTTAATGGCATTGCTTAACAATTGTTGTTGTCTAAACTGGCGATACACATCGGCCGAGGAACAATTCTTAAGTTTTGGCAACTTACAATGATACAGCATGTAATTGCGTTCGGGTAACATTTGTTTTAGTTTAAATTTAATTGTTTTGTAATGGTTCATATTTACAGGCAATTGCTGCTTATAGTGTATTATAAAATAGTCCACAACCTTTATGACGGCTTGTATTTGCAACTCCAATAGATCCATACTTATAAAATGACCTTCCAACATATAGACTAAACGGTGGGCTTCGGACTGGGTGGGATTTTGTAATTTAAATGATTTTTTGGCTGTTAGCAGGGCCCTCCATATTACTTCAGGTTGGCCACAATCCTGGCCATGCCACTGGGCTAGGCAGGGGCAATTGTCTGGCCAAGTTTCATTAGCACCATCATTGTTATTAGCAGCGGATTGTGTATCATTTGATGTGCCCTCCTTGAAACACCACAACGACGCTTCGTCATACATTAGTTTTTCAGCCTCGGTAAGGTTATACCTTGCAGTTGCTTTTTGCAATTCAAAATCTTGTTGGAATTTCAAATCTCTCGAAGGCCATTGAAAGTGTTGATTGCTTGATGCTACACTACTAACTATATTGTTGATATCCTTTAAGGATTCTGCTGCAGGTTTTATAAAATTGATACGTCCCTCTTCCTCCTCGTTTACATTGTGTGGTGTTGGTTTTACCAACATCATCAGTCCTGTGCTCTCTTTAAGGCGGCCACTTAAACCCAATTGCATTAACCAAAAACATAAAATAAAAGCAAATTGTATTAACAGTATCGTCCATAGAAAAAATCGTTTTGTTCGTTTCGGTATAGATTGTTGTTGGTGTTGAAGATGTTGTGCTTGCTGGTACTGCTGTTGTCCACCTGACATCCCTGCCAAGGGTTGCTTAATTAACTGCATTGTATCTGCTCGGTACTCGGTTGTCGACTCTGTAGTAACCAAATCACACCCATGCTGCTGCTGATGGTGATTCGAAGCCAAACGTAAATGCATTTATATTTCGGAGATGGATAATTCTTAGAGGTTTCTTTATGCGCTTATTTTACTAAATCCATTTCATTTTTCCCCGATGAAATTGTCACTACAAAAAATAATTTGTATAAATTTTTCTCCAGCACACACCCATGTAGCAGCAGTCGTAGTAGTTGTAGTAATGACAAAGTAAAAGAAACTTTTTCTTCTACGTTTTGTTCATTTTATTCTTTAGCCAAAGGAAATTTTTTTTCCGTTGCTTTTGTGCGATGTGACCAACAAACCAACCAGCCAGCTCGATATGTGCTGATTCTTTGCAGGTTCTTTTTATCAGTCTTTTTTTCGTCGTTACATTCTCAGTTGTATCTTCTTTCTTCGTCGTCTGAGTATCATATGGTTTTGAACTCGGGGGATGGGGATGATGATGCAGTCAGAAGTTTATTGGTCTCATCAGCAGCAGTTGGGGGTCGTTTTATTAACGACCGTCCGTATGATGTCTCTATAGTCATCTGTGTTGAGGAGGGGTTGAATGTGGCTGGTAGACAAGTGTATGTCATATGTTTGACTTTTGACATCTACAGCTGAGTTGGATTTCAACGAACAGCTGATTTTTGTTTTCATTTTGGATAAAAAATCCACCCTTAATTTTTTGTTTATATTTTTGAAATTCTCTTTTTTCGTTTTTCTTTAGCACACCACATACCAAGGTATATTTAATAAGGTAGCCGCATCGGCCCAGCTGTTGGACAAATAAATGTCAAAAATGTTGTTGTAATGTTCAACCAAAAAATTAAAAAACAAAATTATAAATGAAAATCTCCGAATTTCGAAGAGCTTTTTTGGCAATACTTCTATTAAAATTTTTCTACAAGAATTTTTGTAAAAAATCCGTTTGTTTTGGCAAAATATTTTTGACATATCAAAATACAACAACCGATGTTTGTTGTAGAAATTCGCCGATGCGGCTACCTTGTATATCTACCTTGCCACATACCATATGATTTGATATATGTAAAGAGAGAAACGATAAGGGAGATAGTGCATTCATGCAAGAACAGTGTTTCTCTACCACTAGGTAGATAACAAACCACAAAATTCATTTATGGAACTACAAATTTAGGTTTGCCATTGGTACCCAGTGTTAAATATCCTTAAATCTAATAACATGGTACAATAACAGGAGGTAGGTTAATAGTACCTGCTGATTACATTTTTTTAAAATCAAATTAAATTAAAATATTTTCATATTCATGGCACAATTATACAAGGTAACTGCAATACTCAGCTGATTTGATTCCAACGTAATACTCGTGGCAATTTTAATATGACAAATTATGCTTTTTAAATTGACCAGCCTGAAAATTGGGTACACATTTATTTCGAAATTATTCTTTATTAAATATAATTTCGTATTCAATTTCTAACATTTTCATATGTTTTGCACATACACCTGGCCACGGCTCAATTACAGGAAATGTGTAGCTATGCTAACTTTCAACTTCACATTAAAGAAACTATAGACAAAGTTATGATTGAAGCAAATAATGATTCATTAACCTTCAAAAAAAAAACCATCGAAACTTCTTAATGATAAAATTTCGAAAAAAAAAAACATTCGATAACATTACCTTATCTATTGACATTACTGAGAAATTCTACTTACTTATTATATTTCCACAGAGCTAATGATACAGCCAAAAATGGTAGCATTAAATAAACACTGAACTTATGACCATCGACTTGGTGTCCCAGGCACAATTCAATTGCATTGAATATTAATATTGAAGCAGCAACAATCAGAGATTGACCAACTTCTAGGCCATTAATGCCGGCCAATATATTAATGGCATTGGTGCAGAACACAGCCAACATTCCCATATAAATATAATACAAAACACCTACAACAAATAGGTAACGATTATCATTGTTTATGTTTTCATAAGGGGTATTAAAGGTCAGAAGACTTACCAATATCTAAGGAATAACCAAAAATGCCTCTTGCAAACTTCGGCATTATAATTGTTGTCGAATTATAATTAACATAATATACCATTAATAATGGTAATGTGGCAATTGTGGGCAGCAACAGTTTATGTCTCCATCTCAAGTCTAAGACATCGTCGGCAAAACCCAACAAAATCATGCAACATATTGACAATAGGGCGACAATCAACTCAACAAATTCTTCATGGGGAAATGTGGCCGGTTTTCCACCAGTTTCTACATCCATAGCAGCTGCTTCTTCCAATGTAAACGGTACGGGTATAAACAAAAACATTGCCACCAAAAAGACACAGCCCACCAAAACTCCCAAAGATTCTGGTCTGTCAAATTGTAAAAATAAGATTCATTGTTTACAAAACTCTTCTCCTCTACCCGCATATTTCCAATACTTACATTTCTTTTTTGTCTCTCTTGCATAGATCCTTGCCAAAGAGATTTGCCTTGATGAACATATCCTTGAAGCGGGGTATAATGCGTACCGCCATAAAATAGGCTCCAACCGCAATTAGGCCATTTAAGGCCACCGTAATATATGTCATCCTTTATCGATATTTATTCAAAAATCAATTATTAATGTAGACTTTTTGATTGCTAATTAAATTAGTAGTCCATTACAGCCGCGGAAGAAGCGGAAGAACACACCAATTAATCAATGGGTAGAAGGAGACGTGTGCTTAAAAAAATTCTTATCTTGAAAAGTAACTACATAGCCGGGATTTTCAAAAATTGTCGCCGTAAAATTAGAAGAAATGCGGAGCAAAACAAAACTGATAATAAGGCAGAATCAAAACAAAAGTGTTTTAAATACGGGGATCTCTAGGTCTAAATTCGGACAAAAACTTTAAATAAACACCGGCCAGGGCTATGTAAATCGTCTATTTGATAATTCGACTTGTTTGTAGGAACACAATCAGGAACAGCAACAGAATAACAGAAAACAAGGTTTCTGCCTGTTTTTTTTTTTGCAAAAAGAATTTTCAGGGTCTCTACTTCAAAAATGTTTTCAATATTTGGTGCCAAATCGTACCGAAATAAATATTTTTAAATTGTGCAATTTTACCGAGATAATTCATCGGTCTCAAAAATCAATTCCATTGCGTATACGTCACATTTATCCTGTTCACAAATCCAGTGGATTATATTTTACGTATATGTAATGGAACTGACATTAGGGGATTTGCTTAATGTTTTTTTATATATTACTAAAAAATCTATGGCCAACCCTAATATTCAATTTCAGGAATTGACAATGTCAAATGACATATTTCTTGAAAAAAATTAAAAATGTCTCCATTATTTTTTATTAATATTGCTCTTAAGGTATAATTATAGATGATACAAATTATATTTATAGCTGGAAACTTCAAGATAAACATTTGTAATTATTGCCACTGAGCACGTGTTGTGCGTATATTTCGAAGGAGGATATTTTCATTTAAGTTTTGAAAGCTGAATGTTGTCAAAAAAATATGGAAAATTTGGAATCGTATGTCTGCATGAGACTACCTTGTGTAAGTCCCAATTTATATTAGGCGAGTTTACTTCGGCAAGTCTTTGACTGTAGGAGAGAGGGGCAAGGGGAATGGAAAAAATTGCTCGTACCGACAATTTTCTGGCAATTCGTTTTTGTGTTTCGTATTTGTTGACATTTTATATTTATTTAAATGTGAAAAAACTATTGACATCAAATGAAAAAAAATATTTTCGAAACCGAATTGCCTTGTATGTGTTTCCCCCTTAAAATAGAGCCTCTAGATCAAGACGGTTATCGATCTTATCCGAATAGTGTACACCCTGATGCAGTTAATACAGCCAGAGTGAAAGCCATCCTCAGAGCAGACTCAACATTCAATTTAGAGGTGCAAGTATCAAATACTTGCGTTTTTAACCTACACCTTACTACATCACCTTACAAAAATAATTGAAAAATAGACCCATACAATGCACCAACAATTTTACTTAGCAACCCTGTATCACCACCATTTGTTTTGTGCAAAAAAATTTCGATGTTTTTGTTGTTATAGCCTGCATTCGAAAAAAACGAAAACATTTAAGTAAACCATTTCTATCGATAATGGAGGAAATTAAAAATTCAATGGTTTCGGTCAATGTACCGGCGGTACAATTCGAATCGAACAAAGAATTCCAGACTAAGGGAGTACTTTATGATGGCGATAGTGGTTTCTTACGTTACCGCCACAAGTTTATCCAGCCCAAAGGTGACACTCAGGCAAATCGTGAAATCCTGACCACATTGCTGGCTACCCAGGGTGATAATAGTAGTGATTTTGTGGAAAAGTTAATAGCCGAGGATATATCCTATAGGGATTTGGCGTCGTTGACTCACGATGACCTTGAATTGATGGGCTTCAATAAACGTAAACAACGTGAAGAATTGTTGGCATTCTTTGAACAATTGCCCAATCAGGATCCATCATACGAACAGTAAGTTGGGTTGTAATTTTATTTAGAATAATATTTATAGTTAATATTCTGTGTGCCTGTTTGTGTTCTTTCAAGAATCTGCCATTTGAAAGAAGCCTACACCTATAATCGCAAAATCCTTAACAATGCCAACCAGCATTTGGAAACAATGCGTTCTGCTTTGGCGGCTGCAAATTATAAATTACAAATTATGCCTCCGGATGATGTTATCGTGGGTGAGAAATCTTTCGCCAGCCGTTTTGTGTTGGAGGCCCTCAATGAGTTGTATGGCGTTACCGATGACATTGACAAGGAAATTAAAAGCATAGAAGAGGTTTGTAAAAAAAGACTTGTTTTGTTCATTTAAATTTATTAGATAATCCGGGAAAATTGCAGAATTATATGAAAGTACATTTTTGGCCCATGCGGTCGATAAATATTAAAATAAGTAAATTTTAGTGAATATGTGTAGAAATGAACCATAAAAGTCCATGGTTTGACTTAAAACCTAGTATAAAGTTAGAAGGATAAAGCCACATATTCCCATCGAAATGTCTGTAATTTGACCTTCCACATTTTAGAAAGATAAAAATCCTTTGTAGAAAATTTGTCCTTTTTTTGTCAGGATCCCAACCTTAGTCTGCAATTTGGTATATAATTTTCTTAGAGCGTAAAACAACCGATTAGCAGACAATAGTCCCCATAAAAAGGTCTCGATTGAATTTTGGAATTTTTATTGTGGACCTGTATAAAATGTTTAAAAAGTTCTGCCCGGCCATTTTAAATTATTTTTGACTTGTTTTTGGGTATTTTGTCTCTTAAATGCCTCCTAGAAATTATAGATCGACTTACAGACAATTTTCACTTATGCACCATGTAACGGTCTGGCCATAGTTTAACATTTATGAACGCACACGAGTTTTATAGATATTTTTGTTTTTTTAATATTTACTAATTTTATTTAAAAGAAAAATATATACAAAAAATCAACAGATATAAAATTTTATTGCTTTAAGAAATTCACCAGTAATTCAACAAATTTAGCCGGTTGTTCAAAATGCACCAAATGACCGGCGTCCAACCAATGTATATCAGAATTGGGAAATATTTTTTGTATTTGTGGCCAACTTTTGGGATCAACAAAATTTGATTTATTGCCACAAATGAACATCGTACGACCATTATATGGCTGCAGCCCCGCAATATGGGATTCAAAATCCGAAAATAATCTCAAATGATTGTACAAAGTTTGAACATTTGCTGCCCAACGGAAAGTGCCATCAGGATTCTTTCTTAAATTTAATAATATAAAGTCAATGGTTTCCTTCGAAGAAACGGCCTTCTTCATTTCCACTTCGGCATATTTACGACCATCGGCCATATTTAAATCGGTGGGTACACGCAAATTTAACATTGCATTAAAAATCTGTTCCATTTCATAGAAATCTCTAGGCAATGTCAGCGGCGATATATCGACAATAACACCACTATCGACCAATTCGGGATATTTGAGAGCCATATACATCATTGTTCGGCCGCCCATACTATGTCCCATGACGGAGATTTTCTTAATGTCCAATTGTTGCATAAGATGAACTATATCAGCAGCCATATGCATGGAACTATGTTCGGCGGTGTGGGGAGAATCACCATGATTGCGGGCATCAACCGTAATGATTTTGCGATTTGTTTTCGCCTGCAGCGCTTTTCCAACTGCCCTCCAGTTTTGTTTCGAACCAAACAAACCATGCATTATTACCAACGGTGGTCGTGACATGTCGGTATTGGATCCTTCGAACAGGTTATAGGCCATTTTTACTGGTGTCACATTATCGCTATAGGCTCGTGTGCATTTTTTTAATATGGGAACTAGAAATCTTCTTCCGGAATATAACATCTTTAACAATGAAATTAAGAGTAGAATCGGTCAGCAGTAACAAGATTAAATTCAAAGTGATAAGACATCAATGGTTATGGTTGCCAAGGTTTAGACAAATAAAATACATGACAATATGGATGTAAACATTAGGGGTATTCACCAAAAACATATGACTCCGAGAAATCAGTTAAAATTATTGTGTGTGTTCCCAGTAAATTCTTTCCTAGTGGAGTCCAATTATTTTCTCGTTTGTAATATATTAGGTTCGTTCGTTTACTCAATAGTTTGTACGAATTTGTACAAATTATTACAAAATGTTGTTCGTTTACCCAAAAGTCCAGTAAAAGAGAGTGAATTGAGAGAGCAGATTTGACAGTTGTGTTACTGAGTATTTGCAAATTCTTACAAGGAAAATTTACTCAGTAAGAATTTTCTTGTACCATCAGCTGATATTTAATCAGCTGTTTTGTTATGTTTTGTAAACAAACAAAAAATTGTTCTCAAGAAAATTCATTGTTTTGTGAATTTTATTTTGATTTTGTATCATTAAATAGTTAAAACTTACCGGTCACAACCCTTTTAAATGTTTGTGGGGAACAAACAACATCAATTTTCCGCTGTTATCCATTTTTCTAAAAAAAAAATGTTGTTTTTTAGTTTGCGCCAATTTGTTTGTTGTTTTAATCAGCTGTGTCGAAACAATCTTTTTACTGGATGTTGTTCGTTTACTTTTTGCAGTTTTCTCTCTTGAGAAGGAAAAATTCGTATTTACTCTCTGCAAATTCTTACTGAGTAAATATTACTGGGAAAGTAAACGAACGAACCTATTGTATAAGGTGAGTAAAGTTCCTTCTAGTAAGTAATAACTAACTTCTTTTGTCATATTCCAAACCATGAAAACACTTGCTTCCCGCTTTCACAATTAGCAATATTTTCTCACTTAAAGCATGGCATAATGACAGATATAAGGTTCGTTCGTTTACTTTCCCAGTAATATTTACTCAGTAAGAATTTGCAGAGAGTAAATACGAATTTTTCCTTTTCAAGAGAGAAAACTGCAAAAAGTAAACGAACAACATCCAGTAAAAAGATTGTTTCGACACAGCTGATTAAAACAACAAACAAATTGGCGCAAACTATAAAACAGCATTTTTATTAGAAAAATGGATAACAAGCGGAAAATTGATGTTGTTTGTTCCCCATAAACATTTAAAAGGGTTGTGACCTGTTATTCCTGTATCTGCAATTGATATGGGGGTGGACATAACCGATGGTGTTCCAGACATGTTAGGTATGCACACTTTTTTGTTTCGATTTGGAACCTAAAAAATCGTTCGCCAATTACTCTTATTACTCTTATTTTTAAATACTTGCGTTTTCTTCATCCATTTTGGTATTTAATGATACAAAATCAAAATAAAATTCACAGAACAATCAATTTTCTTGAGATCAATTTTTTGTTTGTTTACAAAACATAACAAAACAGCTGATTAAATATCAGCTGATGGTACAAGAAAATTCTTACTGAGTAAATTTTCCTTGTAAGAATTTGCAAATACTCAGTAACACAACTGTCAAATCTGCTCTCTCAATTCACTCTCTTTTACTGGACTTTTGGGTAAACGAACAACATTTTGTAATAATTTGTACAAATTCGTACAAATTATTGAGTAAACGAACGAACCTATAATTATGCCATGACTTAAAGATAGATAGTTCTGAAACAATTTCTTAAATATTTTTTTATTCCATTTAATTACAAATATTTTATTATATTTTTTCTTTACAGATAATTTCGAATAAATATAAAAAATCCTCATTAAACGCAAAGGAAACAAAGAAATCGAAAAAATCCTATAAATGGACATCATATATATTTATGGGTTCTGTAACAGCACTGGGAGTTATGATGGCTGTATATTATTGGAAATTACGAAAGTAATACATGAACATAAATTGTACCTGTAGTGTTAAACATTACCAAATAGAATATCCCCCATGTTATATATATTGACAAATTGAAAAAAAAATATTTTTAATAAATACCAGTTTATATTCGTAATTAATAATAAAAAGACACACGCTATAGTCATTGAAAGAGACTTAAATCATAATCATTCGTTTAGTACAAATGAGATTCACTAAAATTATTACTTTTTTAGGTTTTAAGATTATGAATTATAATTGTTACAGAAAAAACATGTTCCAAATAAAATGTGATTAATATTTTAAGAATATAATTTATTTGTAGTTTTTTTTAACAAATATGTAAATCTATATTTTTCGTCTTGGATCGTAGACCCGTCTGAAAAAATGAAAAAATATATTAACTTAATGTATTGGGATTGGATATTGGCTTTTAGCAGAAGATTTGTTGATGAGGATGAAGACGTTCTATGAAAAGAAATCTAGTCAACCACACATTGTGTATTGCTTGAATGATCAGGATGCTGATCTCTCCTTTGAAGAAATTGACGTCTGTCATATGTACACAACCCGTTACAATACGTCACTAAAGAAGAAAATCCGCCTTTAAATAAAAAACACAACACATTTTATAATTTTGTAAGATAATTCACTTCAAAATGTTCTTTAAAATCTTGAAATAGTCCAAATGTGCTTCACAAAAACAATATAACGTTTTTTATCTTTAAGTATTTTGGCAAGTCTCCTGGAAAACAAGTAAAAAAGCGACAGGCTGAGAAAAATTTTAAAAAAATGAGAGGAGCTCCGTTCAGCTATGGATCTGAATTCAACAGCCCATTCTGCACAAATTGACGATTGAATTCTGCTAATAGCATCCTATATTTGCCACTTAAATTCAGGCAAGTGTCAATAAATAGTGAATTCTTCGCTGCCTGATCCACCAGTTCATTGGGTCCAATCCCAGCATGACCAGGGATGTAATGGAATTGTAATCTATACCCGCTGTATTAATGATATCAATGAGTCCGTTGATCAAATAGTTTATGTGCTGTGGGGAAATTGTTCACATTATTTGTTAATGATGTAGCTTCCTCGATATGTATCTTAGCAGAACCCCCAGCAGAAATTAAGAGACCCAGATATTTGATGTTTGCCACCTGTATGACCGAAATACCATTTATGCATATACTCATTTGTTTAGGTCTTCTTGAGAAGTGAATGGTGTTAATTTTATTCATATTAAAACTCAGACCTAACTGCTTACAGTTTTCATATAAATTGCTGATACTTTCAGTCAGAATTTCACTAGTCTTCTGAAAGTTTTTGTCGTGGCACACCAAGAAAAAATCATCCGTAAACTGGAAGATGTCCATATTTTATTATATGTGGATTGAACCTCCTACGATAAAGTATAGTCGCCAACTGATTTATGTTTGTATAATCGTACGCCTTCTCAATGCCTCCAACCACTTGATTACCAGATTTTTTATAGAATGGTGTTTATCACATCATTGATGCACATGGACATACATCTGCCCGGTCTAAACGCATATGACCTAGAGGAAATTATCCGATTATCTTCGGTAAACTGAAGAATCATTTTCCTGGTGGCACTCTCCAAAAGTTTTTGTGATGTGCACATAAGTGCAATTGGGTGATAATTTTGAATGTTTCCTGGGTCTTTGTTCCTCTTTGGGATCGGAGAAACCCTAATTCTCCTCCATTCACTTGGAAAACTACCTGTGTTCCATATTTCAACCGAATATTGAAACACGTTTGCTTCTCACTTACATTTAGACTGCTAATCATTTTATACGATACACCATCCGGATCTGCTGCGGTCGTAGGACTCCTAGCGTCAAAACACTTAATATCCAAAGTAGGCCTTTGGCTTATAAAGTTTCCGAAGACTATGGGTGTGTCGTTACAACCAGAGGTGGACTGCTGTATTAAAAAAATAAAGAAATTCTTCCTTTTGTTCATGATTCCATGAGTCATTAACCGGTTTGTCTTTTCCACACTTTTTAACATTCTTAAGGTTACACCACATCTCCTTGCTTGAAATAGGATTGTTCAGCTGGCTAAGAAATGTCCTGAAGTTTTTCCTCTTCTTTTTTCGCACATGCGGAAAAGTCATCTCTCAATATCGGCAAGTTCCAGAGATTCAGACCAAGCCTTTGTACTTTCGTACTTTCTTCTTGCCTGTACCCGACTTTATATCTTCGTCCTACCAGGGCTTAGGGACATACTTGTTTCTATAGTCCAGACGAATTTCGTTACTTTGAACGATATTATTAACATTTTTGTAGAAATCTTCCAATTTATTTCCAATAGTCATTGTGTTCATTTGGCAAAGAACCTTCACTGCATGCATGTCTAAGTATGTTTGAATCATTGAAAATTGTGACAACAATTGGATGGTGATTACTCTTTGAAATGTTCGTGTTTCTCGTTATCCAACTGACCTGAAGACTTGCAGTATTGATAAAAGTGAGATCTATAGCAGATTGACAGGTATTGATAGAAAAAGTAGGGTCCCCGTTGTTTATGCAGCTAAAATCGTGCTCATTTGCTAGTGTTAGAGCGATATCGCCTTGCGTGTCAGTTACCGAATTACCACATGACGTTGCTTTCGCATTAAAATCACAAATTATGATAGTGACTTCACTAATTCTGGAAGCTGAGTCGAATACACTCTAGGCTATTGCCGATAATGGTCTCGGTGCAGATTAGGTTGAATGTAAACTGATATTACATTCACATTTCTTTTGAGGTTAATTGTGCTAATACATACAATACCTACCTACTTGGTGTTTATGTTGGTTAAAGCAAACTTTATCTCTCTTTTCAGTAGGATCCCTACTCCTCCATACCTAGCTTTACTGACGAAATTATAGTTTCCATTGAAATTATCTTTAACCCAGGTTTCAGATATTGCTGCAATATTGATGTTTTCATATTCTAAGAAAAGTTCCAGCATATCCTTATTTTCACGTTTGCTGGATATTATATTGCAGTATTTTCATGCTACATGCATATTTGGACTAAGATTTAAAAATTAAGGAACTTACTCCAACAGCTCCTTCATTGTCATGTAGACTGGAACTTATAATAATCTGTCTGACAAGTTTATCTTTAATTGCATTCAGGACTCTCGCTTGACTGTTAGTCAGGGATTTCTCTCCTGACTCCGTTTCCTATCTGGTAGATCTCACCAGACCTCAACGCCTACCTGTTTTTTTACCGCGTTCGCCAGCTCTCCTGACCGATTCTGACTGCTCTTGGCCACCTTCGCAAAAGAGCTGAAGTTATGCAATGATTTGGTTGACTCCATAGCATTACTAAGCGTTATTCCTTAACCTGCCATATCTGCTCTTAAAGGAGGGAAAGCCACATCCAAATTTTCGTCCAGAATTTGAAACTTGTTTGTAAAGCCTTTTTTATACTTGATTTGTGCCTCCTTGTGTTAAATTTTCAATAGTCAAAATCTTCTAAAGTTAGTATGCTGCATCTCCTTACAATTGCTAGACACGATTTCTTCTGCACATTTTTCAGATTCTTCATGAATAGCGAAACCTTTCCTGCATGACATAAGTGCTTGCAGTGCTCCGCAAAATGATTATGCCGGTAACACTTATATGTAGCATGTACTGAAGGAGATGAAGTGCTTGACTACTCTCTTAATATATTCGAAAAAACGCATCGTTTTCGGAAGCTCTAGACCTTTAAAAACTATTTTCACTATTTTTTTTTTATATCTGCAAAAATTTTGCAGATATAACACTCATAATACCAGGAATTCCAAATTCGTTCATCATTTGCACTAGAGATATAGTGTTTATAGGCGCTGAACGGCCAACGGCATCAACGCGGTCAACATAGACTAAATATGGAACCACATGATCACGCTCATATCTAAAACTATAATTATTCTTGATTTGGCTCATTGCTGGTTGACTTGACGGAACTACTTGGACTGACGCCACTTTGCAATTTCTGTTATTACTCCTACTTCTGTCTCTGCTCCCCTGCCTACAATCAGGCTTGCTTGGTGGAGTGGGAATATTTATTCCCTCCTCCATTCTCGCATACTCTCTTTACTGCAACAAATACAAAACGACGGTACCCCTACACAAACAACAAACGTAAAGTACAGTAATTAGAAAGATGCGACCGTATGATCGCCACAAACCGTTATCCTCGAACGCTTGAAAGTTCTAGAACTTTTGTATGTATGAGCGGGAATATGCAGGTTATGATATGTTGACGATGATGAAATTTATGAGGAGGATGTTGCAATTTTATGATGATGTTAATACGATGGATGTAACTACGCGAACCACCAGTAGAAAAAAATCACTTCACTTTTATAACACTCGTGAAAAATTTTATTAGAAAAGTCCATTAGAGGATTCAAAAATTTTAATCGGGTATGCTTGTCTTATTCAGGAAATTTATTAGCGGGAATATGCAGCTCAAAACCCTTGCAGGGTGCTCGCAAGCAAGTTCATAAAACACAAAAAACACTTAAGGTACGTTTAGATTTACGAAATCCACTCGATCTAAAATGTGAATTCCATTGCGTATACGTTCAATATAATCCACTGGATTTGTGAACACGATTAACGTGACGTATATATTTTCGTTTTGACATCTAACATAATTTTGTATGTATGTATCAAGGCCTATATAATAGGGTATCCAGTAAGGACAGCTGATATCTACATATTTTGTCAAACTATGTTGTTTTGATTTGAATTCCAATAAAAATCCATAGTATACATACACAAAAATGTCAAAAATAAATTTGTAAAAATATGAAAAATAGATTTCAAATCTTGAAAACAAATTGAATTGTTTACGAAAAAGTGTATGGTGGCCAATTTGTGTTGTGCGCGCTTAAACAATAATTTCAAAATAGGACTTTAGCTCCAAGCACAACTTTTGACAATAGATTTAGGTGCAGAGTTGTACGTTTAAATGAATTCGCCTTTTGGATGACCTGATATTTGGACCATGGTATGTATAGGTTTCAAAATATGATTTGACAGCAAACTTTATACTCAGCTGTGCTTACTATCCGACCTTATATAGGCCTTGGAACGACCGATGGTATTATTTTGTTTTATTATTGGCAGAAACAAATCGAACTCGTTTTATTTTGCTGAAGCGGAATCTGGTAATATATGTCGTTATCATGGTTAACTTATCTTTGCCGCGGAGATTTTGGATTACGAATAATGGGATCATTCTCGCGGTGCATAACAAATTTTGGAAGACCATTCAGAATTTGGAATATATTCCAAATCCGTAGAGTAACTTCGGTAATGAAGTTATGTTGTTTTCTTCAACAAAAATATACGATTAGCTGTAATAACAATCGGTGACTTTAATTTTTACTCCTTTTGTAAGCAGATAAATATTTTTAAATAAAAAAAATCAAAGTCGGACGAGGACGAGTTTGAAACATTTAATGCAATACCGCGTGTGAAAAGGGATCTATATTAAACGTTTTCTGACAAGAAATCGAATATCATCTTAAACCCAGAAATGCCTAATTATCGCCACATTTCTTGAAAAATATGCATAGAACCATCAATATACCGAAAATGAGATGGGACTTATATATATCAACTCGTGGACCGTTTTCGATGCTAAAGTGGAAAATTTTAAAACTCTATTATGATTCCATCAAGGTCGTCCTTTGGGTATCGCTCTCCTGGCCATAAAAGCTCGACGTAATGCAGTTTCGCCAAACGCTGCAATTTAGTTGAAACGCCGACAAAAAGCTTTCCGAACAAAAGAAAATGCAAGAACAATAGTAGCTGCTATACAAAAGTCGATTTACTTATCATCCTAACTCCCACCGAAAAACCGGCATTTTTCTTGCTTGTAAAAGAAAATCTTTTTGGAAGGACTCTTTTTTTTATTGAAATTTTGTACTTGGAAACTTTTGATCTAATCGAAAATGTCTTCAGTTTGGACACCATTAGAATCGAATCCCGATGTAAGTTAAATAAAATTATTTGTAGAATATTTGTTGTAGATAGGTATTAAAAAATCCTAACAAAAGAAAAATTATGGTTGGTGGTAATGCCTGGCGACCATAAGGCGTCACTACTTAAACACCATGATGAGTCATATGGCGATAAAAAAAAAAATAATTTGACTCGGTTTAATATTTGTAGGTTTTAACTAAATACATACACAAACTGGGAGTGTCCAAGGAATGGGCCCTTACCGATGTTGTTGGCTTGGAACCGGAAATGTTGGAATGGATTCCAAAGCCCGTTAAATCGATAATACTGTTGTTCCCATGTTCGGAGAAATATGAACAACATCGGGCCGAAGAACATGAACGTTTGGCCGCAGAGGCACAAGATTATCCCAAATCGTTGTTCTATATGCGTCAGTTCACCTCAAATGCTTGTGGCACCGTTGCCCTTATCCATAGTGTGGCCAATAACGAAGAGTATGTTGCTGGTGTTGAAATATTGTTGCCTTTTTTTGTTATTGTACTTTACCTTTCCCACACAGCGTTAAAATTGAAGATGGCGCATTGAAAAACTTCTTGGAAAAAGCCAAAGATTTATCTCCCGAAGAAAGAGGTAAAACTTTGGAGAATGATGCTGGTGTGGCTGAGGACCATCAAGCTTTGGCAAATGTAAGTATCGGATATTCTTGAGAAATGATAATGTTAATATAATTATGTTTAAAAATAAATTCTATCTATGGTTGGGATGGGGTTGTTTAGCGGAAAAAGGGTCTAAATTCTCATCGGTATCTTAAAGTTGTACCCAAAACTTTCGAATTGATGAAAAACAAGAATTTTTGCAAATTTTTTTCACATAGATACCTACCTTATTTTTAGGAGGGCCAGACAACAGCCAATCCTGAGGAAAAGGTCTATCATCATTTCATTGCCTTGGTCAATGTCGATGGAACTTTGTACGAATTAGATGGTCGCAAATCATTCCCCGTAAAACATGGTGCCACTACACCAGAAACCTTTGTGCAAGATGCTGCCCGTGTGTGCAAGGAATTTATGGCTCGCGACCCCGAGGAGTTGCGTTTCACTGTCATGGCACTGGCTGCTGCACAAAACTAAAAGATTGAAATCAAACGAATTTGTATTACCACAGAAAACATCTCGCTACAAGGCTTTTGCTCCAAATGAATTTATTAATTTTTGTTTTTGAACTAAACTAAAAAATATCGAAAGATGTTCGAAATAGCTTTTTGTACTGCTTAAATGTTTTTTTTTTTAATTTTTAAACTAGTTTTTTATAAATTTTTTTAATGTTTCATAAACAAAGAAATAAATGTACATGTGTGTCATTAATTTTTTGTTTTATTTTCTATTTCTTCGTTAAAAAATTTAAATAAGCTATGGACATAGGCATCAACATATTGGGGATATTCCCAGGCAGACGTCCAACGTATAAGATCAGCTCTTGTTGTACAGTGGGGAAGATTTTCTAAGTTTAAAAATATACAAAGCATTATTTGAAATAGACATATTAAAGGTTTCGGAAGTCTTACCCGCCACTGCTAATCGAATTTCCGCCTCCTTTTCATAACGTTCTGCTAGTTCTGATAAAAATTCCACAAACTCATTTAACTGCCATGAGCGGTAGAATATTTCATTAGAGCTCCCAGGTAGTTTACTTAAGGCTTTTAATTGTTTAACTGATTCCTTTGTCTTTACGGAAATATCTCTGCATATTGTTGCAATAATTAATAAATTGTTACAGTGTGGTTTCATCGATGCTGGGTACAGGGTAAATTCCTCGTTACTCTTAGCTTCCATGGTGGTCGAAGTCATTTGTTCTAATACTTTGGTTTTTATAGCTTCTATATGTAGGCACAACTGTAGACCACGTTTATCTGTGAGGCACCATTTTTGAAAATGTTCCACGGCAGTCTTTGCTATAGTTTCTAAACGTGTTTTACAAGCCAGTACATTGGAGTCAGCAGGGGATTTCGAGTTGGAACTTGGTGAAACTGGACAGAAAAAGAGACACTGTCAAAATAACAATTGCAAAAGTTTGGTTTACTTACACCATACTGGGGATAAAGTATTGTTGATTGCGGGATTTTGAGTGTCTGTAGATTCAATCATTTCTGCGGACGATCCAATCTTCTGATTGGAAACACAGCCGTTTAATGCCGGCGTTTCTTAAAGTTTTGACGGCGTCACGGAATTGGACGAAATAGATTTAAAATGTAACTGATAAAGCCAGAATCAAAACAAACAAACAAAGATTAGGCTTAGTGTATTTTAGTTCGAAAATCGGACGAATTGGAACAACAATATCAGATGAGCCAAACGGAACTATTTCCCTACGAATCAAAGGAGTCAGAAGAGAACGGAAGAAGCACCCGTGCGGAAATCAAGTACCACCATAAGTTGCACTTGAATAAATAATATAATAAATTAATATAATTATTATATATAAATTAATATAATTATATAAATGATATAATATGATATGTAAACAAATATCTCCATTTTTTACTAATATTGCTCTTAAGACATGGTATAACTATACAAGGTAGTCTCATTTGAGAAATTGACCAACCCTTTTTAATATGGAATTCATATATCAATTTGAAATAAAATGAAAAATAAATTGCATAAAATGTTACGCATGGCGATAGGTAAATTTTCAACAAATTAAAAAAAAAAATAGTTTTTCTAAGGCTCCATATTGTTCTCAGGATTTAACTAAGAATGCTGCAATTTATATTTATAGGTTTTATAGGCAGGCAAATTAATTTTTTAAGAAATATAAATGATTCAAAAATGTTTGCCACTGAACACAAGATTTGCGTACATTTCGAAGGAAAATATTTTCATTTAAATTTTGAAAGCTGAATGTTTTCAAAAGCAAATTTATGAAAAAATTGGAAACATATGTCTGCGCCTTGTATAATTATGGCATGCTCTTATTTTATACCTATAGATGTTACAAATTGTATTTATAGAGGCTGGAAACTTCAAGATAATAAATATTTTGTATTTATTGCCACTGAACACGTGTTGTGCGTACATTTCGAAGGAGATAAAATTATAAAAAAATTGGAATCATATGTCTGCATGATACTATCTTGTGTAATTATGCCATGGTATAATTCATGGTATAATAATAGAAGGTAACAGCAACATCAAGGTAGCACATTAATTTAAGACCAATTACAAATTGTATGTGTTCCCATGGGTACAATTATAAAAGGTAACAGCAAGTCCCAGCTGATTTGATTCCAACGTAATACTAGTGTCAATATGAATTTGACAAATTATTGTTACGTTCTTGGACTTCACTTATTCCCGTGTAGACGTTGTTTTATTTCCCGATACAATTCGTACCAAATAAAACGCGGGTTCTTTCGGATTACGATTATTACAATGATTTTATTCACACAACTTTACTTTGCACTTTACTTTACACGACGGTTTCAATTCGCGATCTGATTCACAACTGACTCACTGCCTTTCCATTTCCCCTATTTATATGAGCCTTGCTTGTAGCTACAGAAGTTTCTAGACGATCTGGTAACACCTAGATCACGAACAATCTACCAATGCAACAAACACACATACAAACTTACATTGAGTAAACAATAACAACAACACATACAAACTTACATTGAGTAAACAATAACAACAACACATATACAGGTGAGGGGGTAACAAAGAAAGAGGAATTAAGCGATCATCAATGATGACGTTTAACAAGAATTGTACGTCAATAACAAAATAGAAAATAAAAGAGGAAATGGAAGGATGTAGAAAAATCTATACAGTAGTTGTTGTTGTGAAGTTATTCAAATAAACTGCGTAGTAGAAATTTACGTTACAATTCAAATTCTTAAATTAACGGAATTCATCTAAAGTAACTTAAATCTAAATTTATATTCGTAACATTGCCCCCCGCTTAAGCCTGTTCGTCCCGAATAGGCACAGTTCCCGTTCCGTAGGGGGTCAGCCGCTCCAAATGTACAACTTTCATCTTCGACCTGGGACTGTCGCTACTCTGGATGCGATAAACGACGTCATTTATTTTCGTGACAATCTTGTAGGGTCCTTCCCAGTGCGTTTGCAATTTGGGGCATAGTCCTTTCTTTCGTTGTGGGTTGAACAATAGTACCAGTTGCCCTTCTTGAAACCCATCGGTATTTGCCGCTCGATCGTACCTTGCCTTCATGCGGTTGCTAACCATTTTTATTCGATGTCGGACTGCATCGTGGACTTTACTAAGAGAGTTTTGACTGTCTTCATCTTGGTTCACATCGTTTGGGGTAGCACCGAATATCAAGTCTCCAGTTAGCTTTAATTCATTTCCGAACAGAACTTTGGCTGGGGTCCGGGATGTGGAATCATGAATGGCCGATCTGTAAGCCAGCAAAAACTTGGGAATATACTCATCCCAGTCTCGTTGGCCACTGTCCACCACTTTCCGTAGATGTTCTTCCAGGGTGCGATTGAATCTTTCCACCATGCCATCTGATTGTGGATGTAGAGGCGTCGTTCTGGTTTTCTTGATTCCGTAGGAGTCACACATTTCCTTGAAGATCGCTGATTCAAAGTTCCTACCTTGATCGGAATGAACCTCCGATGGAACACCATAGCGACAAATCCAATTTTTGCTGAACACATCCACAATTGTCCTGGCTTCTTGATTTGGAATAGCATAAACCTCTGGCCATTTACTGAAGTAATCCATGACCACTAAGACATACCGGTTCCCAGAGTCGCTTGTTGGGAACGGTCCAGCCACATCCATTGCGATTCTCTCAAAAGGGGCTCCTGAATTATACTGCTGCATGTAGCCTCGACTCTTCCGTGTTGGACCTTTAGCTCTTATGCACCTTTCACAATTGGCGATCCAGTCGGCAATGGATTTTTGACAGCCGACCCAGTAGAATCTCTGCTTTACCTTTTCAGCCGTCTTTGCTATGCCAAGATGTCCTCCACTTGGCCCATCGTGAAACTCCGACAAGACATATCTTATTTTGGAGTCTGGGACGACGATCAAATTCCGGTGAGATTTACCGTCCTCACTTTCCCATTTGCGATATAGGCAACCATCTTTTATAAGCAGACTGTCCCACTGGGCCCAATAAGATTTTAAAAGAGGGCTTTCGGAGGTAATTTCTTTGCGACTAGGTCGCTTGGCCGTTTCTATGGCCGAAATTATTTTGCCCAGAATGGGATCTCTTCGTTGTTCCGTCGACCAATCTTCTCCCGACTCAAACTGCAATCGTCGGACATCCACGATATTCTCTTTGCACTCAGCCTTTGAGCAGTGGCTGTATTCTACCTTGCATGGCCGACGAGACAGGGCATCAGCATTACCGTGTTTTCCGCCTTCTCTGTGCTCGATTCTGTTTAACGGTGACTCATTGGTGGACATTCTTCTACCATCTTTCGTTGGAGGTGGTGACGATGACCTGGATCGTTTGCGCTTAGCTCTGCATTCGCGCGCAATATGACCTGCTTTATCGCAGTTGTAGCATCTAACCCTGTGCTTAGTCATCCCTACAAACTTTGTTTCTTCTATTACCCGCCTCATGGTGTCCTTGATCAAGTTAACGAGAGATTTGTGTTCGCAACATTCGGTCTCCAGTTGGCTAATCTTGTGGGTCTGGGGCTTAACAATCATTCTTGCCGTCTCTTGGGCAAAGGCAAACGACACGGTTTCGGCAAATGACGCTTTTGGTGACGCATATGTTGCACATTTAATCTCAGGGTCACGTATGCCATTCACAAAGGTTTCGATTTTAATACGGTCCACCAATGGGTGATTCTCTCCTGGATACGCCATTAGCACCAAACGTTCCACCTCAGCTGCAAAGTCTTGTAACGTCTCGTTTGCCCTCTGTACTTTTCCCCTTAGTTCCATAAGGTATATGTTTTGTTTATGTTCGCCACCGTACTTACGTTCCAGTGCAGCAATAACATCCTCATAGTTGTTTCTAGAAGCGACAGGAATACTCTGTATAACATCAGCAGCACTGCCCTTCAATGCCAGAAGTAGTGCAACCGCTTTGTCGCTGTCGTTCCACGAATTTCTAGAAGCCACTGTCTCGAACTGTAACTTGAAAACATTGAATGACGTAGAGCCGTCGAATACAGGAGGTTTGATTTTTAGTGTGTTATCAGGAACTCGCACCGGACCACCTTTAATTTCCAGTTCCGACATTTTCTTCTCCAGATTCGTAAACCTATGGTCGTGGGCCAGAAATTTCTCATCCACAGACAGAATCTTCTCGTCAACCGACTGCACTTTCTTATCCAACTCTTTAATTTGGACCTCCACGGTTTCCACTCTCCTTCCAATAACTTCTGTAATGTTCTCGAGTTTCTCGTTCATTATTCTCGAATTTTCATCTAACTTCCTGGAATTCTGTTCGAACATTCGTCTCGTGTTTTCTACTAACATTCTGGAATTTTCCTCAAACATTTTAGCCAGCATTTCTCTGAAATCGTCACCCCTGGCAGCTACTGACGAGACTTCCCCACCGTTGGATTCGCCCATTTCCGATAAATCCACTTCATCCTTACTGTCAAACTCATATGTATCGATGTTCATACCACGGCGCTCGAACTCATCCAACAGACGTTTTTGTAGCTCAGCCTTGTTACCAGTAGAGGACAATTCCAATTTATTGAGCTCCTTCTTCAAGTCTTCCACTCGTAGATCCTTAAACTTCATCGTAGTATTATCGTAATCTCACTTCCGACACCAATTGTTACGTTCTTGGACTTCACTTATTCCCGTGTAGACGTTGTTTTATTTCCCGATACAATTCGTACCAAATAAAACGCGGGTTCTTTCGGATTACGATTATTACAATGATTTTATTCACACAACTTTACTTTGCATTTTACTTTACACGACGGTTTCAATTCGCGATCTGATTCACAACTGACTCACTGCCTTTCCATTTCCCCTATTTATATGAGCCTTGCTTGTAGCTACAGAAGTTTCTAGACGATCTGGTAACACCTAGATCACGAACAATGCAACAAACACACATACAAACTTACATTGAGTAAACAATAACAACAACACATACAACAACACATGCAACAAACACACATACAAACTTACATTG